GACTTTTGAGGTCGGTTTTTTTAACCGGAGGTTAGGATATTGAACGTTTAGTTTATACCAATCTTTACTCTCTTCCTTGACTTTTAAATTTTTTTGCAACGATAAGGCCGCAAGAAACCTTGAACGCTCCGCTGTACTCGCCACCGCCGTTCCGGATTTGCAGCTATCGTCTGGCCCCCTTATCATAACAAACTTAATCGACATTTTTAGCGAAATTGACTTATTAGCATGTCCCCGGACTTGCTAATAACTAAATCAGGAAAATGAGATCTACAACCCTCTGTAATTGTTTATTTTTCTATCTCATTTAGTTCGGATTTATTGTTAAGCAAAATCAACGTAAATGACATTTTTCATAAAAAAAAAGAACTTTAGGAGTCAATATACCGAAAATTACCAAAATGCAAAGGGCAAAAGTATTAACAATAGGAAGTAAAATGTATTAACGCATCCGAATGGGGTGGAGCGGAGAAAAATATAATGATTGTCACGTGCGATTGTCTCGCATTAACATAAAATCTGGTTTTTTCGTCCTGATTCGTGACACTTCGTGTGCGAGCCCTGTGGTAAATAATAAATCTTAGTTATAGTGACGGGTAGTAAGCGTCTTAATCGATTTTTGCCCGATTATTTATTAAATTTCGGTATGAAGAAAGACTCTTTCAGGTTTCATTCCTGGAACTAGATTGCTTTTCATCATCATTCTGCTCTACTAACGTACGTACATGTCTACATTATTGCTATAGTGGAATTTTGGTGTAACGGTACTTATCATATTTAATTCTTTGGTCATATAGACAGAAGCTTAAAATATATTTGTATAAAAGATATGTGTAGATATGTGTTTGTTGCATGACATTGTGAATGGTCATATTCGCACACGTCACACGCCCTTATTTTATATACCTCCGTGCTCGACAAACTATGCTATGAACAGTCCGTTGACTCGTCTTGCTAAACAGTATAATTCACGTTTTAGTGAACACGACGTTTTTTGTCAATCTAAGGCAATATTTAAAAAAGGAATCATTAGCTCGCTTGAGTAATATCAGTGAATAGTCCTATATTTACTTACTTATTTTGAATATATCGATTATTATGTATCTTATGTATCTAGATTAATACTCATCACAGTAATACTTTTGTGGTGTTATATTATACATTAAATTTGTTTGTATTTTTATAATATTGTAAACGCTGTTGGTTTTCAATAATAGTAAAAAAAATAATTAAGTAAACTCTTTTTTTTTTAAAGTAAAGTAAACCAAAGCAATTTATTCAAGCGTATATACGAAACAGAGAAAACTTAATTCGTACATTGGACATTTATTTTTCAATGTATTTTTAATATTTATGACTACATCAGTATTTCGATTAGAATTCATCGATGTTAATCGCGGATGTGTCTCCATCGATTCTTAAAGAACATCAACACGTCACTAATTCTAATAAATAAAACGGGGGAACGTGAGGCAGATAAAGAGTGCAAGCGCGTTCTTGGCCTAAACGCCGCCACTGCTGCACCATTGTGATCCACCGAAGTGCTCAACGACCGAGGCTGGTCGTTAAACGAATGTGAAAATATTTTGTGTTTTTTAGGAACCGTCGAGATAATCGCCGACCTGATCAATATTAAGGTAGCGTATGCGCCAAACCACGCTTAAAAATAGATTATTAATGAATACTATTAATTTTTATGTTTTTTTTTAATGTCACGATGTTTGACCATCACGATATTCAATTATTTATGTTAAACGATTCCACTAGTTTGTTACAATTATTAATACAAAGATCACTCTCAACTCTTAGAAAAAAATCCTTCAATCCGGCTGGATTCGAACGAACGTCTTCAAGCGAACCGTGGTAGACGTTATGCCGACATCCTAATATTCAATAAACTTGGTTACAATTTGACTTGAAAGAAATGTAAACCGATGCGATATACAATGTGGTTGGTCTCTCAATGAGCTGAGCTTGTTAATGTGTAAATATGTGTTTAAAATTTACACTCACTCGTCGAATGCGAATGTTCCTGTCCCATTTAGGTATCTAAGAAAAACCGCCAGCGTCAGAAAACTGCTGTATTCAATAGGTACTTTAGAAATACCAATGATTTTTATATCAACTGAACTAAACAGAAATCGTATACCAAACGATATACATTTTCCAAATGGCTTTAATTTCGTTTGTAAAAAAATAAATTCTGAAAAGCCAGTGTCTCTGCCGTTCGACCTAAGCAAAATGAACCGTATTTGTACGGGAAAAGAATTAATTCGATCTGAGGCAGTATCGACACTTAACGGTACGCAAATTTCAACTATTCATTTTCCGGATCACGAAAGCCAAATTTTGGGAAATAAAGTTTTTTTGTTTTTTTATGTTAGAACCTATTAGAAAATGATTTCGCTGACCCAATAAAAATCGTATTACATGGTGTTATTTAATTGAAGTAGTCGAGAGTACCTTATCAAAGAGTAAAACTTTTTATGTTTAAAGTACTTAGTAACTTTGATAAATGTGCCTACGATCCCGCCTTACCAGCGGTAGGCAAGCGACAAATTATATTCTACCCTCTAAATTAATAAACAAACATGGCCCAAGTGTGACAATCCCTATAAGATCGGTGCATAATTTTAAAACAGCTTATGGGCCAATAGTTCAAGTAACTCTATTTAAAATGTTATCAACAAAGGTTAGGAAATTGAATACTAGCTCCACACATGAGATTCTCACCAAAATTTTTCAGCGACAAGAAACCCTTCGCCAAGGATAGCCTATGTTATAACGACTTTCATTAACGCCTACCAGTGTTACAAATGGAATGATACATGTGGGAGATCTCTTTTGAAAACGGCAAACTTTCAATAAATACAAAAACATTCCGACATTTTGCTGAGCTACAGGTCTTTTCTATTTCCCACACACAGTTTATACTTATTTATTAATACGTGGAAATAAAAAAAAAAATATTTCAATTTAAAGGTAGCGTTGTGTCCTTTTCGAAATAGTATTTAGTCAGTCCTCAGAATAACCACCTATTTTTCGATTAGATCGTTATCCTGAATCGAAATTTACTCGACATTGTCTCTACACAATTTTCGAGATGTATTTTTTATTTCATTGCGCGTTATTTTTTACATACATTAGGTGCACAGCGAGCAGGACGGCAAACAATGACCTTCTCAGTTCTCCGATCTATCTTTGAACCATCCGATTTAGAACGTCAAATGCCCAGATGCATCCGATTTGATTTTTCAATAATAATAATTGTCCTACAACAATTAGAATTCTCTCCAATGTCATCCGATAATTAGGAACAAATAGAATAAGTAATTTGTGCTTATTGAGGACTAAATTATCGGAGCCGGCATCACATAGAGAACTGGAAGAGATACCGAATTACGGGCCGAACCTACAAGGGAGCAACTTCCTTATTAGGTTTGCGTTCGTTCGGTCACATTGTGTGTATGTAGCCGGCATAATTCTTTTTTGTCGTACCTCCACCACACTCGCTCTAATTTGTCGGGTTGCGAGAGTCACCAATGCAAATAAAGTCTTCGTGAATATGTTGTGTCAAGACGCGTTGTTTCCATGGGAACCTCGAGAGCGGCTAGTGTCATTTTGCCGCTGATACTGTTTGTGGACTACCCACATCGACTCGTGTAGCAGGTTGTAGTGGTTAAGAAGCTAAGGTTTAAACACATTTTTTTTCTTTGTGTAGTGTCACGACAATATCGCTTTCACAATAAGATAAAATACATAAGAACTGTTGGCTTTTGTTATTGCTTATAATACAGAAATCATTAAAAGCAATACAAAACATTAAGGGTAATTCATATCAATTTTCAATACCCATTATAGAATTTCAGTCGCTTTATCTGAGGTGTTAATAGGTAGTGTTTACTATATTTGTATGAAGTGTTATTTCCTATTACCTATAAAGGATTAGTGGTGTGCCCCAAATTAATTTATTGTGGTAAATAATATACATATTTGTCACTGCACAAAACGAGTCCTTTGCGTAATGACAATTGGGACAGAAAATAAAAGCTGTTATTTAATGCAATAATAATTTAATTTAATAAACATAGAGATTATGTTTCCTTCGGCTATTTATAAATACTATGTGAACTATACAAATAATGATTAAGTCATAAATACACTGGCTCTGCTTTAAAATAATATAATTACAGGTCTATTAAAGCTAGACATATTTCATTGGATTTATTTAACAGGGATACAAATAGATAACAAACAATATTGACCACTCAACAGCAGGCGTTGACTTTAAACGGTACTAGGCGCAATGTATCGTGTAACGTCACTAGTAACTTGAGCTACTAGTACATACCCAGAAGTAGAAATATTTTGCCGACTTCTTTATTTAGTGCTGTGACACAAATGCACTGCAATTTTTACTTGTATATCTCAATTTATTATATGATAACCTAGTATAAACACTCGTTGCACGATTTTTGCTAGTAACTATGTGCTGAAGATTTTAGCTGTAGAAATGCCGTTTTGTTTGTGCTAGGTCTAAAAAATATATAATTTTTTTATATTAATAGGTGTTTAAAGTTTACAATAAATTTGTTTTATTTTTTAGTAAATGGAATATACAACGTCACTAAGTGAAATACTGTGAAAATTTTGAAGTAAATACAACATAAATGCTTGTAAATGTCCTTATCGTCAATGTCAATAATTTATTTGTCATAGCTTACATAATTGTCGGGTTTCAAGCATTTATATTTCATAAATCAGCGGTCAGTGGATAACGTCCATTGTTCAAAGCAACATTGTGTACTTTCCACCACCTGTTGAGTGGTGAATGTAAGAATAAGTAATGTACAATTAAAATAATTCGCAGCCTCTCCTCCTTCACTATCTAATAAAGTGTAATTTAACAGTCACAGTTCAAACATATTTTGTTCTTTTGTTGGAATTCGTTGAATAATTTACTAACATCAACAACTAATATCATTCAAATCTGGTGGTAAGAAGTCAAGTATTATAATCTAAATTAATTAATACAAATAAAACATTACTTTGAGTAAGGCATGAACATCGCAAATCTTACGGTTTTAAAAAACACGCAGACGAAATTGACTTAATGTCAGGAATAAATAACATCTTTTAACAGATATCATGTCGTCAAGATTTGCAAAGCTCCACTGTAAATTTTCGTCCAATCGCCCAAACATCAAAGAAAATACAGTAATCAAGAAATAAATAAGTTGGGACCTTGACTAGGATTATCGGAAAATTTCAAATGTAACGCCTGTAGATGCCTGCATACAATAAATAAATTCGTTAATATTTACAAAATTATAAAAGGAACTAATTCGTTATAGACCGAATGGCAATGTAATGGCAAAGACATTTACTATATTAATTCGCTAATCAACAGCCAAAACAATTTCTCTATTAATTGGGCTAAACTACTTGGGGAGCAATATAATAATACTAACGCGACCGTTTCGATCGTTAGTTATGCGACCGTCAGGCGTTTCATAAAGAGAAAGCACCATAAGTAAATAGCCTAAATTAGAGCCATCTTAAGGTGCCTAGGACCTGCCTGGCACACAAATTAACAATAAGAACTCAATTACCATAACGGACAATAGCACTACTATAGGATCTTCCAATAAGGATATGGCATTCAAACTCTCTCATGACGGCAAGCTGCACATAGCTCTTCCTTTAAAAGAGTACATTAAAGCCCGTACATATCATCGCGATTACGTCAAAATAAATAGATTAAATAAAACTAAATCATTCACACACCGCACGCTGTCATTGGAAGACCCTAAACGACATGTGCGCTTAAAACCTTGGCTCATCACAAGCGGTCTTAGAATTCTAGTTAACACAACCAGAGAGTATATTGTAAACTATTCATTAAGAGTCTGGTTCATTTTGTCGAACACCTGTGTGATATACTCTAAATAGTTGATGGTGTCTCGGTAGACGAGCAAAGCATTTGTAAGTCTATCCTTATATTTGAACTCTGGTATGTCAGAGTCAAGAAGCTTGGGCATTTCCAATTCTCGCGCTCTCATCACGTCCTGTAAAGAAAGAAACACATTAGAAACATTGAACTTTTCGAAAATATCTTTTGAATTTAAACAAATCAAACAAAAACGAATAACAGTACTATCCATTCAAACAAAGAAAAGAGACTTACACTGAAGTAACAGAGAACGGCCCGTACGTTGGAACTGGTATTTGTGAAGTTCCTCTGCAAAGAGTCGTCGGCGATATTGTTATCCACCAATTGGTATTCGCCGATCTTCCGCAGGCCAGCAACTAACAGCTTTAAGGACTTGCCCATCGTCGGCAACGTCTTGTCTATATCATTCTGTTAACAAAGAAAAATAAAGATTAGTTTTTTTAACAAAGGAAATGGATGTGCGATATTTGAACAAAGGAGACCAGAACAGCAATAATGCTCATTTAAATTTCACAGACGTAAAAATTATCATCTAAATTCACCGATTATTTTGAATGTAACGCCCGAATTGCGAAACAATTGTGTTCTCACGTAAGCGATAGTCGAACAATGAGTGCCACCGTCGAAGTCAATTCAACGAAATCGATTCAAAAACTCGTACGGATGCACGTTTTTGACATCAGCAAATTCGGCGCCCTTCGATTATATTGTTCTCTGTGAGGAAACGACTGTCAGCGGGCATTTTTGTTTGTTGGCTGGTTCGTAACATTCGGCGACAGAAATGTTGTGACTGGAAATGGTTCGTTTCAATAAACTTTCTCTTCTCCCCAAAAGCAAATATAAACAACGTTATGTTGAACTTTTCTGGCATCTTTTGACCGACCACGATTCAAAGTTTAGTAGCAGTGAGTTCGTCTAAGGAAGTACTGCCACTTTACCTATTTCTGCAAGCCAAGCAAAAATGTGAGCATTACTGCGTTTCGGTTTTGAAGGGTAGAGATGCTGGTGAAATTACAGGCACTGAAGATTTTTCAACTTGTTTTTTTTTTTTTTTTTTTTTTTTAATATTTATTTCTTCAAAACAATACAGAATCAACTTAAATTAAGGTTCCCGCAAACTTTATAAAAGTTTATCGGGTTTATTATATATGTCTGATTTAAAGCTCTGAGTGGCACTGCAAGTACAATGGGCAGCTGTATCGCTTACCACCAGACGTACGACTCGTTCATATCATAAAGAAAAAGAAAACATAAAGGGCACTTACCATCAAATTAGTGAGGTAGTCATCATCTACCTCTGTCCCGTACTCTTTTTCCGGGGGCAGAACTTCTGGAATATGCCAAGGACGAGCACGTAACCAATGAGTCGTGTTCCATTCTCCTAGCAGATCCTCGAAGTTTGAAAAATCGTGTAGACTTGCCTGTAACAAAGGAAAATTTTATTTAATATAATAATTTCCAACTTCAAAATTATGAGTCAACGTTTCAAACCATTCTGCGTGTTTGGGGTTATGCTTAGAAATTGTGAGTAAATACAAATCCATTGATTGAAAATTTAAAAATTATATATATATATATATTTCTTATATACACTAATACAATACTGTGGTAACTCAAAATATGTGAAATTTAATATTCATATTATCATTACTTAACGTAAAATTTGATTCTCTACACGTCAAAAAACCGTCGTCAGAATATTGTAAGAAACAATCAAAAGATATCTACTTAACTCAAAATGAGACACACTTTATGTAAGCTAGTTTTGGCCAAAATAATCTTTATTAAAAAATATTAAATTATTTTTCCAAAATAATCTTTATTAAAAAATATTAAATTATTTTTTCCATTTCATTTTTAAATATATTTGGGATATTGTTTAAGAGTCTATAATGAAGTATAACATATACGTAAATTTTAACGTTTTTTTGCGGGAAGTGAGTTTTCTATCGATTCTGAGAAAGTCCATTTTTTGAGTTAATACACTATTGTGTTAACAGTGCGATATATATTTTCAACCGTTATTATATATTTGTGATCACCCGCCAAGCCATAAGCGAATTTTTGAACGAGGTAGGACGTTTTCGGTGGAGCGACCAGTGCCGCACCTCCAACTATGGAACATGGCCTCGCTTAAACCGCTTGACCATAGTTGATGGATAGAAATTAAAATTACAAATAACAACACATCATAAAGATAAAAGCTAATGGTTTTAGAGTTAACAAACAGTTCTAATATTAACGACTAAAATTTACAATGAAACAAGGGATTAATCATGTTAATATGTTAAATCTGTCCTCGGAACAAAAAAGGGCACAACTAATTTTTTTATCAAAATTCAGTTACATACATATTCGGAATAAGGAAATAAATGCAATTTTAACTTTTTTTTGTGGAAATATATCTCAATAATTGTTGAAATAAAGTTACATTAATAACACTAATATCAAAAGTTTTTACTTGATAATGTACGGAACTGTGCCCTTATTACGTAGATCAATTACAATTTAGTAACACAAAAAGGCATAACTAAATACAATTGTGCCTCCTAGTTCTATTCCTAGAGTCAAGTATTAAGTTACATTTAAAATAGTTATGCACTTTATATGCAGTTATAAAATTTTTACATTTTTAAAAACGGCTGATTAAAATACAATGAAAGTTTCTGTATAAAACATGTGGTATGTATTTATAACATAAGCCTTTCTTTCTTTCGAAGGCAGAAATATAGACTAAAGTTTTTTTAATTCTGATTGTCGATTCAGCATACGTATAGGAAAATCCAACAGGGTACTAAATGCATGATTATCGAAAACAGAAAACCCAAAACAATATTATATTACAGATGAAAACAACAAATGTAGATATTACAGGCGAAAACAATATGTGACTCAGTATGTAATTCTTTGTAGTTGTAAAAATAAATTCACTATTGCAATTGCAAAGATTAATTGACTTTCACAGAAATGGTAATTCAACGGAAGATGAGAACATGCAGTAAATGAGAGTTTCCTTTAGGGCTTGTATATAAAGGATCTGACATGAATCCCAGACGCAGTGATCTTTTGTGTTTGCCACTATACCGTTATTATTGTAAGTACAAATACATTTTATTTTATTAATTATATAGATCCACTTTTATTGCTACAGGGAAATGTCACGAAATTTGTTTAGTTCAAGTTACAGAGATTCTAACCTCAGCTAAATGTCTACGGTCTATCACATATAACTTGAAATTTAAACATTTTTGCTAATAAATTTCGAAGACAAACACAAATTATCTCCATAGCCGGTTAATAAAGTGGTAAAAGATATCATATTTTTAGTTTATAAGTGCCACAAATGGATCTAAAACCGCCTACACGCACGCGTATTCTAACAAATTGTTCCTCGAAATAACAAACGTTATAGTGCACGTGGATAGATCAACCAATTGGACAGATCTGTCATCTAGCAATAAACATTCGTCACCCTAGATCAGTTTAAATTGGTTCAGATGTACTAGTGCAATTTTTCTGTCTAAACTACCTGTCAATTAGATAAATGCAAGGATCCTGATGCATTTGCATAATTCGTTTAATTTAAATCAAAGAAAATGTAAGTTTAAACCAAGCAGTACATTATGAAAGTAATTATGTAAACAGTAAATAAATAAACATTTTAAAAGTCCAGACGGATCGCTATAAAATATCAATAATGATATAAAATTGCTCAAGGTTGTCCGAAAGCCGAGATCGAAACAGGAGGTCTGGTCACCATCGACATTGCTAAGTAACACAACCGTTTCGACATAAAAATTTGACACTAAACCCGAACCACAGTCACCTACGTGACGACAGTCGCATAACCAAAAACTAGCCCTAAATTAGCGGCGGAGGGTTCAAAAACCATTGCCACGTGACCGCTGGCAGCAGATGCAACGTCGATAGAAATTAAGTATCCCTTTTGAGCATCGATTGTAGCACAAATATTGTTAAATGACAATACAACTAATTAAAAGCGGTTTCGCCAAACGTGACAAAACCCCAAAAAATTTATAAAGGTATTGTGAGACATTGTGTTATTGGTTATCTTCTGATCGGAAATCAGTTTGTTTCATAAGCTTAGGCAATAATTTTTGGAATCAATTGGCTCAATTGAATTTGAATTTGTATTTGGTAATTTTGGAAACACTAGCAGTACTTAATACGCTTGCATCAATAAAGTTTTTACTTCAAATAATATATAGGTAATTTTCAGATAGTTTTCTCCAGCTAATTTCGCTGGCAAAAATTATTATTTACTTAAATATTCTAGAATATTATCATGAAGTATTACTTAATATTCGAGTGGAGTATTCTAAACTATTATTTAATATATGCCGATAATGTTCTCGAAAATTTAAATAATAAAAATTGCAACCGAAATTAGGTAGAGAAATCTAACCTGTAAATTGTCCATATATTAGAGGCAATGAAATAATAAAAGGCAAATTAAATAAAGTAATTGCAAAAAAGAAAATGGTATAAATTACATTTTTTTAATGATTAGAGTTTTATTTTGAACAATGTTCATTCCATGGTAAACATTAGAATAAATCGAGAAGTTAGTTAACATAATATCTTTACATCAAATGTATTGATTTCTCAAGAACTATGGAGCTGTCCACCTTATCATAACTAACGTAAACCATATTTTTTGCCAAATTGAGGTAACAACAGATCTGGAATTAGCTAAACGTTAACGTTACGTTATTTAGTTCCAACTTTATTGCTAAGCAAAATCAGCGTACTTAACATTTATCAAATAAAAAAAAACAACTTTAGGTGCCAATATCTTGAAAGTTACCGAAATGGTAATCCGCTACTTGTGACAAGGAGAGCAGAGTGATTTCGTAAATAACTTTTATTCTAAGTAGATTATTCGTATAGTGCGAAGTACTATCATGGAATGTGCTATGTAGTCAGTGGCCAAATAACACAGGTGTTCGTCCGGTGCCTACATCACGCCATATCCGAAACGCTTAACCAATATGTAGTAAAGTGCAATGACTCGATATTTTTATTGCATTATGAGCGTTATTAAAATAATCATAAAACGCAAAATACAATGATTTGTAGACCTAATTAGAATTACCTAAAATTTTGCTAAATTTATCGTCATTCCTTGCTCGAATCTAGTGAAGTTCAAAGTGATGTGATATTGTATTCCGCAGTCATAACATTTAACTGTTAAATGGACTATTTGAAAATATTATATGAGAAATGATATTGTCGATCTCATAAACGTGTAGTAATGTAATATTCGCAGCTGCAGTTAAATTCCAACGGGCACTGGGTGCAGAATCGATTACGTGCGCAATAGGAACACCCGTGGGTGGCCGCCAGTAAGAAATTCGACGACGTAGCATCCGAATGCCTAGCTCGAAACATCGGAAGCTTCATCATCAAATAAACACTCACCCACACTTGCGCACACTCGCCATACTTATAGCACACGTTCGCGCCCACCGTCGCAGACAGCCTGTCGCCTCGTGTGAACAACGCTATTGCTATAGGTAGGTATATATTGTATGTAATGCGAGTAATTCAATGTTTATGTATTGAGTGAAACCATCGCGAGATAAGCGCTACAGATGCACGGTGCAAGCATACCGCGGATCGATCACGCCAGGCGATCAAGTTACTTGCGAATCGCTTGGTAAAATAAGTTACTTTATTGACTAGAATTAAAGAATGTCGGTGTCAAAAACTCGATTAATATGACACCGGGAGTCAAAAACCTAAGTACAAGACATTCACACGGTGGTCGTACAGTCACACAGTACCGGTAGAGTTCGTTGAATTTGTTATTACGTTCTTAGCACGGCGTAGCCAGTTATTACTTTTATATGTAATGGCCTGACTACAGATGTGACAGACCCAAATTCGTATGTCTGTTGTCTTTATGAAGCCTCGACTTCTTTTTATACGTTTAAGCAGTATCATATGACTAACCCGCATAGGAAGCTCTGACGGCCTCAAAAATAGTTCTTAAAACAATAAGGATGTTAATGTCCTTGGGCATCTCGACTATGGCAGTTCGTCGCCTCAAGAGTTCGGTCGAAACCGCAATAAATGATACATTAGTGACGAATGACCGACATTAAGGGGAGTGACAGAGAGAAAAAAATCAACGGGCAGGTGTGTCGCGCAATACTAATGCGCAATCAGTATTCGATGCGTACACGCATCGTCCTGTAGTTCGTTCCGGCTACTGTGAGTCGATAATGTTTTACGACTGGGAGGCAGCAGCGATCGGACAGGACGTCGCCGTCGTTACGACCGACGGACCTATTACAAATGCCACCACACTTCATACGCAAACATCGCCTCTACACCTATTCACGGAGTTGACACTTCCCCTCTTGTTAACTTTCCATTGACGATCAAACACCCGATACATTTCTCAAGGTGTCATCGAAACTAGAAATGTACTAAGTCCTTTACTTATTTGATACGTTATACTCTCGAGTCTGGTAAGGAGCTTTCCATAAATGATTCGAGGCGCGCCAACGACATCACATTATTGCTGGTTGATCGGCTCACCTTACTTCCGATTCGGAAACTATTATACTTTAGGATAGGAATGATTAGAATCGTCATAGGAATATTCATATTAACATTTAAACAATTGTTTCTTGTAATTCGTGCGTGATATAGGTTGAACGTAATTTATATTAAATAAGCATTGACTACATACTTTATTAAAATTTATCGAAAGAATGCGAGTCAAAATTATAATTACAAAAAAGGGAGGAAGCGAGACCGGACGTAAGGACGCGAAACCGGCGCCTGAGTCGATGCAATCTCTTCACTGCATCGCCTTTGAGTAAGAAATGGCACTAAACTGTGCACGTCGAGAATTTCAAATAAAGGGTCAAATTTCGCGGCTACCTTTACGTGTGTGTTGCCTGTGCGTACTTAAAATAACACAATCATTGTTAAGAATTATCTGTACACTTATGCGTATGAGTGTAGAGAATACGAAATATGTAGCCTTTCATTCATGGATTGATAAAATCGGTTAAGTAATCCCTTAAGGTAAGCGTTGACGCGTATATTTTATTGGTATTGATGCGCAAGCTCCGTCCGTTCATTTAGTACGACGCGACGGGCATACAGATGTGTTCAACTCGCGATTGTCTCTTACTTACTCAATGAAAGTACTTATACAAATGAAATGCAAAGTTACTTACTACTTCGTTTTTGTACGCCTTCGCTTTTGAAAGAGTATTACTCGCTTGTGCCACGACTTTCCCAGCAAGAGATGGCTCGTATTTTAGCTTTGATTTTATCTGCAAATAAAAATAAGAATTCAAATCGGTTCGCTTATCGTAAGAAGTGATTGAAGACAAGAATAAACGACAAACCAAAAGAACTATATCTTTTCTAGCTTCTTCGACTTTCATTCTTCTTTACTTCTGCTACTTTCTACTACTTTTCTCAACTAAATGTAGTTTTAATACCTACAAAATCATAAATAGATAATTTTCAGGTTAGTTTTTTTTACCTAATTTCGGTGGCAATTTTTATTATTCTAATATATATTATAAAATATTATTTAATATGCGAGTGTAGTAACCTGAAACATTACTCAACATTTCAAGATAACATACTCGAATGCTTAAATAATAAAAATTGCCACCATAATTAGGTACCACAACTACCTTGAAAATAACCCAACTAAGTTGTAGGACGTTAGGTATCTCTACATATTGCGTCACATGCATTATGAAAGGTACTCACATCAGACTCATTGTAGTCACAAGGGTTGCCCCATAAAGGGTTCTCCTCCTGACTGGCCATTCTCCGGCTCCTGGGCGGTGCCGCCGATGACTGTGGGGTGAGCCCTCCGACCAACAATAGCAGGCACACTGCCGCGCAGGCGTTGACGTACCCTGATTAGAAAACAAAAACAAATTAATATCACATTCGAGTTCTATTTACGCACAAAATCAATTTGAGTCTTAATTTTAAAATTTCAAAAATAATCTTTTTGTGATTTGATTAAAAAAAAAAATTAAAATGTAATAAAATAGTAATAGAATTCGTTATTGAAATATTTTTCACACAAAAATAATACGCTAAAATAAATAAATTGCTACGTAAAAAAATTAATATAAAATCGAATGAACTGCACTACATTTTAATTCGGTTGCATCTCGTCAATGAAAGCTGGTTCCGTATGCGGCACGCGCGATGTATCGATTATGGTAATCGTTTGACATCCGATGAATAAATAAAATTATATAAAGCGATCTAAAGGTGGACAGCCTTTGCTAATTGTCCAGTGAACCTGGATGAAGCGGTAATTCGGCGTTTCAACGCCGGAGGAACGGACAGTCTTCAGACATCGATTCAATAGTATTAGATCTCGAATAGAGGGCGTTACCAGAAAAATTGCATATCAATAAATTTGTTATTTAACTGAACTTGGAAATCGCTAGTTTGGGTTTACGGTCTGAAGTTAATCAAAGTAAAGTTATTAAAACAATCTTACTGAATCTCATGATTCTTTCTCGCACTTTAGGATCCATAGTTGTCGAAGTGGATTTCATTTTTTTAAGTGACTAATTTTTGATTTATACAATTGGTAAAAATATATGTATTTGCACACTTGATCACTACATTGAGGGAATTGTAATTGAATGAATAAATTAAATGTTTTTCCCGCTTATTTATACTCCATTTGTATTGATACTGCACACTTGAATTTATCCGCTATGATGATATTAATTAATTTAATTAACTAAACCGTCGATTAAAGTTAATATTGTAAATCGATTAGGAGACAAATTTTGTGATTATGATTCATGTAATTAAATCTGATCAAATGATATTGATGATTGTAAGAAATATAAAAATATTACGATCAATTCAGTTATTACTATCAAAAGACAATAATAAGGTGCCAGGCAACCACACGAATTACCTATTCTCAAACTAGGGAATTCCCTGTACTTCATAATACTAGGCATTCCGTACTCGTATACCAGAGCAACAGAGCGCATCCAGAATATCCAAGACTAGAGAATAAAAATAAACTTTTCAAAATTGAAAAGTTTATTTCCAAAATTGGTTCTATACATCCAGCGCGCACAGTGCAAACCATTGGGCCATTCTACCCTCCTTATCACAACTAACATAATATACATTTTTAGCGAAATCGAGTTATTAACATATTTTGATCGACAAAAAGAGATCTACAGCCCCTGTAGTCGGTTTTTCAATATGCCATATGCCAACTAAGTCACGGAACGAACCAGCGGACTTCACGAGTTTTTCTATGTGCTTGTTTATCGGATCTTTGTATTTGGTTTTCAACTACTTTTAGCCGTAGCGCCATCTATGACAAATCTATGAAAGTATTTCGTCCCCTAGTTAGGTAATTTTACAGCTACCAGCCCTGACTAGAGAGATACAGCTATTAATTGTAATTTTTTTTCTAAGTGTTCGATCTTTATATTAATAATTATAGTAAACTAGTGGGGTAATTCCACAAAAAATAATTGAATATTAATTCAACACAAATTTTGTAACTCGAAAGTTACCGAAATAAAATATTTTATAGACTCCAGTCATGCATCCATCAGAATTAAAATTCAACCCTTCATAATCAAATCATCAGGACAAAGTTGTCCTGTACGTTTTCCTACCGCATTATCCGGGTAATTCAAGCAAACTATTAAAAATATATACAAAAAGAAATACGATTCCAAGGTCATAACGGAATAATCATTATCAATATATTGTAATATGAACTTGTTTATAACCCATGTAACCCATGACGTCATGAGGTTTTTCAGTTACATACTATACTCTGGTATTTGTCCGGAAACGTTTTCATGATATGAAATCAATTACAGGAAACGTGACAAACCTATTGGTTTTAAACTATATTATAGGTAGAGAGCTCAAAGTCTACATCTGTTACAATAGTTATTTATAAAGATTTTAGATTAGATTTTATGATAAATCTATACAAGAATTTGACTTAGAAGTAACAAGGTTTA